CTCACCACTCCAGGTGTGCATGGTGTGATTCCCCCCCCCCCCCCCTTCCAGTAAAGGCCCACTCAACTAGGAGTGTTATTTCTTGGGCCTTCGAGCATCAGGTTTCGGTTTTCCAAACTTGAAGGCTGTCACTTTTAACACTTTGTAACACAAGACGAGGTGGACATTGAAAACGCTGCAGATGCTAGTTTTGGCCACAACGTTCTTCAGGCATTCCTCTGACCTATGGTCCCCCTTCTGTTATTCCTTGCAGAGGTCTTTTGTTTTACAGTCTGTTGGACTGCTCTTGAATGTCCCATTGGTTGCAGAACTAACTTTGTGTCCTGTGATATATGATCAATAGAAAAGGATTTTTTTCTTTTGCCTGTATAATGTATTAATTGAAGTACATCACAGGACGCTTTCCGCTGTTTTCTGTGATCCACACTCGTACTCCTTGCTACAAAACGAAGGCATGTTTTGAGTGGGAGGGATTATACGGGGCTATCTTGACAGCTTTGATTTGCCAGTGTCCAATAACATGAAAGTAGCTGCATAACCCTTTTGGTTTTCATAATTAACTCCGTGTCGTGTCCTGTCATGTCTTTAAAAATAAAATAAATGAAGTAAATTTACAGGTAAGACAAAAATCCTGTTTTTTTAAATGTGTTGGATTACAAACCGTTAACACTAATGAGGCGTATGCCACCTTCAGAATCACTGCCCTTAAGGTGCCCATACACCTTACAATTATCTGCAGATTTTCTGTGGTCAGATGGAAAAAGTGCAACAGATTGGCCCGGGTGGAGATTACTCCATCCACACAGTTAAGTGTAGATGGAGGAATCTGTTGCACCTTTTCCATCTGACCATAGAAAATCTGCAGATAATTGTAAGGTGTATGGGCAGCTTTAGTTTGTTTTTTATTGTTTGATTGGTGCTGATAGTTTTCACTATATTTGCAGTGCTGTGACAGGAGACTTGAGGCTTTCAAGAAGCTGCACTATCTGCTCCTCCTCACTTTGTAAATTGTGAATGGTTCCAAAATACAAAGCATTTTGTGAATGGTCGCTCCCCCGTCCATTCCTCCAGTCAGCGATGGAGGATCAGAGGGGAATCCCTGCGGGGAGCGGTGACTGACAGTCACCGCATTCTGCAGGGAGATGATCGAGAAGTGAGCGAGCGATTGTATGTGTTCGCTCACTTCCCGATCAAGAGAGCCGACCTGTGACAGCTTCTTTGTCACACGTCGGCTCTGAGGAGGAGTGGAAATAACTCACCTCATAGTTCTCCTTTAAGGTTACTGCTCGAGTAAAATACCTCTTTCAGTTGCTCTCAAATAGCACTGCGTCAGATTAAACCTGACCACTTCTTACAAGTGCATCTATTTAGAGTAAAAATGTGTTGCATTTTAAGTAATAAATTTGTTGCAGAAGTTTTCAAACTTTTGCACTTAGCTGCCCAAGAATACAGACGCAAAGGTCTGTAAACCTGTCGCAAAGACTTTGCCGAAGGAGAGGCAGCCTAATTTGTGACTAATTGTGTCGCTAGTTTGCTTGATAAATGTCCCACAGTATGTTTGCTACCTTCTCAACTATGAATAAACAGGAAGTGGGTGGATCCAGACAGCGTTGTCGGGATCCGTCCCGGCTGCGGCGCTCTCAGTATGCCAGTGATATACTGAGCTTTGGGTCACGGGAGGAGGTTAGTATATACTTACTCCATAGTTCTCTCCCACATTGTCTTCTCAGTTTGTAAATGAATAGGAAGTGCTCTATACAGTGTTAGGCCTGTATATTCAGTGTCAACTGCGATTGTGCTCTAATGTTCTTTTTTTACAGCAAAACACGTCATGCAAGTTTAATTGGTGCAATCTCTCTCTAATTTTAGATGCATGCACCTTGACCCTAGGTGTTGCAATAGTCACCTGAACACCACATAATTACATTTTAGGGTTCTTGGGGAGTTTTTTTTATTTTTAACAGTGAGCTCTTGCATTGAATTTGCTGGGTCAGCCATTTCTGGTCAAATAGCAGGAATCTCTGCCACTTTTAGATTATTTTCTTTACAGTGAAATTATTAATTTCGAATCATTTGTCAATCTTTTAAATTCCTTGCCAGGCACATAGGCATCCACAACTTTCTTTCTGAGGGCCTTAATGAGCTCTATTGATCTTGGCATGATGTCACCACGCAAAGAGAACACCCGACCCTAAATAGGAAAATTAGATGACACCAGTCATGTCCAAATTCATTCTTTATTGTGCCATAAAGCAAAATTATAACACATGATCCAAACAATTGGGTTTGTGTGTTGATTTTATTTTTTTTATTATATATAACTTTTGTCATTTCATGTTAAGCTCCGGCAAGTTTGTGTTGTAATTAACCACAGCTAATTATGTACAACCCTATTGGATGAGGTGGAGTTTATGTGCATACACTCCCTGAGGAGGTTCTATTCTTTGACACACTTAATCCGGAACACGGCACATTCATGGATTTGAGGTGGTAAATGAAAGGAGTGTACTTTCTTTTTCTATACGACTAATCTATTTTTGTTACTTGAGATCAGGGGTAGCCAACCTCCGGCCCTCCAGCTGTGGTGGAGCTACAAATCCCATGAGGCATTGCAAGATTCTCACAGCCAAAGACATGACTCCCGGAGAGAAATGCATCATGGGATTTGTAGTTTCACCACAGCTGGAGGGCCGGAGTTTGGCTACCCCTGCTTTAGATCATGAAATCATTATGACATTTATGTGCCATTAAAGTATATCATCTTTGTCTGTATGTACTGTTTAAACGACGAACTAATGTTTGCTTGTTCATTATACAGTATGTTGAAAAAGTCAGCAATTTCCATGAAGTGTACCTATTTTTTCACCTGATTGTATATGTGTGCTAATTTCCCTTTCTTTCATAATGTAAGTGTATGCATTTCAGTAGGTTGTTCCATCTGTAATGTTTTGCCTTTATTTTTAGAGGGCCAGCAATGGGAAGTAGTTGCAATAGGAACAGGAGACCTAAACTATAGCCAGGTCACATTGAATGATGGAAGAATTCTTCACGACTCGCATGCTATTGTCTCAGCGAGGCGTTCATTACTTAGGTAAAATCAAGCTGTGGTCATTATGTGTTCACAAAAGTTACCATAATGTACCGATTTTTTTTTCTGATACTGATTTTTGTATCTTCCTGTGATTCTATAAATATTCTATAAAGAATTTGTAAAATACATCTTTTACAGTCGCATTGTGAAACCCTCACATGCTGTTGCATTTTGTTTTCTATAAATGATTAACAGTTTCCTGAAGTATAGAAGTGAAGAAAGCAGTGTGTAGACAGGGAAGACACTTAAAGTGTATTTCTACTTTTGCAGTTATATTGGGATAACACCTACCGTATATGCGTTACAAGTTCCCATTCACATTGCATATTTAAAAATTGCTTCTTACATTTTTGGGTGTTTTTTTTTTTTTTTTTTTACCTGCCTAAAAAATCCTACCTCCCCCTATGTTAAACAGGGTGCTGTGAGAAGTTTTGTGTTAACTCTGATTAACCCCATCTGTAATGTGCTGGCAGAGTTCATTATCAATTGTAAACTAAATTTGAACACTGTCCTTACAAAGGGTTAAAGACTTAGAATGATTGTATGTTAATGAGCGGAAGCTGTCTGTCCCTCCTCTTTCATTTCACGTTCAAAGTACTCAGAGTAGACTGGAATCTGCACTAAGGCCCTTTACCAAAGAAATCTCTAAAAGGTAAGAAGGTTTCTTAGGTATGCTATATGAATAGGAACACATAACAACAAACACGCAGTGGGGTTTTCTCTTAATCGAATGCAAAAGTGGAAATGCACTTTAAGGAGGCTTTGAAAGTGTAATCTTAAACTGAAAACAAGAAAACAGCTTATTAGGATACATTTTTTCCTGCCAAAAGAATTGCCTTTCTGTCCATTCAGTCTTTACAAGCACTGATTTACAAAGTGCTGACAAATAGAACAGCCAGAAGGATGATAGTGATTTTCTTTTACTATTACTGAATAGAGTGGTGTAATCTCTCCATCCCCAACTTACTGATTGGACAGTGAAGAAGCAGCAGCAGACTAATAAGGTTGCCTCTGATCACTGTTCTCCCTCCTCTGGTCAGATTGTTCCTTGTGAGCACATCTAAAACAAAAAAAATGACTTGACATACACTTTAAGGCATGGATGTCCAAACTGTGGCCCTCCAGCTGTGGTGGAACTACGAATCCCATGAGGCTTTGCAAGATTCTCACAGACATGACTCCTGGAGAGAGATGCTTCATGGGATTTGTAGTTCCACCACAGCTGGGGGGCCGGAGTTTGGACATCCCTGCTTTAAGGCTGTATTCATATAGCCATAAACCACCCAAATCATCGTATTTCTGTGTCATTCACAGTTAGGTGCAGACAGGAATCTTGTACAAATCAAAGACAGGCCGACACGGTCCCCTGCTGTTTACAAGGAGCGATTTCATGTGGCTAGGAAAAGATGAAGCAGGCCTGTGCACAGACTGTTTGCATGCCGGGCAGCTCATCTGTGCAGTTACATGTAGAAAACTGAAGACTGAATGGCCGCAGCTAATCGGAAACACCTGGCCATACTCGCCACAGAAATCAGTTGATCTAGCTAGTATATGGCAAGAACGACCATGTGAATAAGGCTTGAAGTGGAACATGTCTCTCATAACACCTTTATGTTAAGTGAAAATGATAGAAATTGACATTTCCTTGTAATATCAAAGATTAAAGTATACAATCTCTGTTGGGAGATGAAAAGAAGAGAACATATTGTAGCTTCACTGGTGCTTATGGAGGTAATAAGTTAGGTAATGAGCAAAAAATGGCTAGCTGAAGGGTCAGTCACTAGTCACGCTGCTATGGTTAAATGAGATGTGTGGCATAGGCAGAGCTTGAAAAATTTGACGATGTCTCACCAGTCAGTAAAAAATGTCACCAGTCAGCATGACCGGACTATAGCCTTGCAATTTATGTTAAAAAATTTGGGGGACAGATAGGGCTTTCTTTTGTGACCCCACGTGGGGTTATTTTTTTTTTTACTGTATAATGAAAAAAGTACCATAAATGTAAAAAAAAGTTTCCCTACGTTATGTTATAAAACATTTATTCTTATCCATATTTTTGGTAAAACATAAAAGTCGGGGTCATTAGACACCAAACATGTCAAGCCTTAAAATTGCGTGCGCCCGCAAAATCGCAAAAAACGCCCAAAGGCGACGATTAAAATGCTTCTACTGCTCATCAGTTTAGTGTTATCAGTGATTAATGGCTCTAAAATTATTGCTCTCACTCAGACGTTTGCGGTGATATGTAACATGTGCGGCACAATAGGTGCAACCTTAGTTTTCGCACGTAGGCGCACCCGACTCATATCTGCGTGTGTATGTGGGGGGAGGGGACTTAAAAAAAAGTTTTTTTTCTTTTTTAATTTTTTTTTTATGCTTTATTTTTTTTATGATTCTTTCATTTTTGTATTCTTTTTTTTTTTTTATCTAGAGACGCCCGATCGCTTGACTGTAAAGCTGCCGTCCGTGTAATTACAACGGCCGGCTGGGAAGCTGCTCGTCGGGCTCCACCGTCCTCTCGTAGTGGACGAGTGGATTTTTCAAGCCCTGGGTATAGGTTACATTAATATCTATGCGTCAAGTGTGGCGCAATGCAGTTTGTTTTATATGTGTTACTATTCTGACTCCGATCGTTGTGATAGCGAAATATATCCCTTGCTGAGACCTCTATGCCTGGCCTGTATAAGCAGATATACTCACTGCGGACAATCCTCGTCAGATAGCTGAACTCGTCAATACCGATTCATTCAAAAGAGGTGTTTATTCTTTAACATCAGGTTACAGCAGATGATAGGAACAGCAGTTGAACGGTTATAGTATTGTGCGGTCAGAAAATGATGCCTTTCCTCCGTACTGTGCAGATTACCTGTGTGTCCTTGTTACATGTGGCTTTCAACTGTGGCCATGACACAGGAAGTACTGCACACAGGAAGAAGGGTGGGGCTACATACAGAGAGGAAATACATCGTAGACATCACAAAGAATCACAGAAAAACATGTACATTACAACAAAAGGCCACTAGATGGCAGCATAGGATAACACATGAATTTAGCTATGAGAAAATAGTTAGGCAAATCACACTATATAAATTCTAACCTATATAACAATGCTAATATTAACTGAGGCTATGCATCTCATATTCTATGCCCCTATTGGGGCGGCACAGTTACCAATCAGTTTCCAAGTACCAACACAGTTGCTGGCAGCATCCAAGTTACTTTGTTACCTTACACAGCTAAAAACATTTGTACTAATGTGTCATTAGTTTTCTTTTTAACTTTATCCGTTTTACCTTTCAGGTATTTCTATAAACAACTCCTGCTTTTTTATAGTGGAAATACTGTTATGATGCAAAAATCCATCTTCAGCAGACAACCAGCGACTGATCTTCTTTCACTTAAACAAAATTTAAATCTCTATTTGTATATGAATCGGCTCCCAAAAGGATCTGCACAAACCATCTCCCAGCTGTAAGTACTCATTTTGCTTTGCATGAAAGATATCTTGGACCGCATTAGCCATCAATTCAAGCAGAAAGTTTGGAGTTTAGGTGATGCACTTTTATTTCCTTACTTAAATTAAAGATGCTGGCTTTCGGGGGCCCCTTATATGCCCTTTTCTGGCTTTATATAAAGGATTAAATTGGTCCAGAAAGCTTGCATATTAAACAACTAAAATTGGCCAATAAAGGGTATTACCTAAGAAAAGTGTGGATTTCTGATGAGACTGTTGTATAGAAAAATGATGTTGCTTAACATTCCAAGCTGACTGAATGCTGAGATGCATACACTGCATAATTTTATACAACATATGTCATTCATGAAGTTTCAGAAAGCATATACAAAAAGAAAACACAATATTGTGAATGGGTGCTTAGAGGCTACAGAAATGTAGGCTTCCCTGATATTTCTTCAGCTGTGCTTCTTCCAAATAAGATGCATCCACCAATCACATGCTTGCCTGCGATGCATACACAGGCAAGGTGATCCTAGGATGTTTTATTTTGCATAATTTACACAGAGCTCAGTGTCTCCTGCATGTGTTTGCAGAGAAGTTAAGTAGTAATTGGAAGCTAATTTAAATAGGTAAGGACTTGATGACCCCAGTGTAGCTCCTAAGGAACCTTCATTACAATTACTGTTTTTCATTTGCTGGTACTGGTATTTGCTGGTAGGTATTAGTGATGTAATCTGGGCTTAAGAAATGCATCCTGGGAAAGTTACATCAGCAGTGTATTGCTGGGAAATCTCATCCATAAAACTACAAAATCTTGCGAGATCTCAGGGATAGAATGTTTCCATTTGAGGCCATGTGCACTGTCACATGTTCTAGTCACATGTGCTCAGAGTTCCAGGAAGTACCAGGAGATGGATTCATCTGCCCTTAGTGAAAATGGCCACTGTGAGAAGATTGGGGAGGGAAAAAAAATATGCTATGCAAAGACTAAAAAAGCTGCAATTATCTATAAGTATATGTTTGTAGATTGCCATTACTAAACATTTCTACACTGTTGAAATTTTAAAGATAAGGGTGAAGTTCCTCTTTTAAGGGACACAGAATTGTAATTCAGGAACATTGGGTTATTCTGCTACCTTCAGGAGATCAACACAGGCTAACAAATGCTGTTGGGAAAGCCTAATATATTTTTTCTTTTTTTAGTGTTCTAGGAGAACAGACAACTCTGCTCTGAGAGAAGCAAACCCTTACTTACTTTTGTTATATTATAATGAGGTGCTTTTTCTTTTAGCAAGATTCCTTCAGTTGCTGTAGAGCCACTAGGGCTCATGTTGCAGCTTCCAGATCTCCAGTCGTGGCGGTGATACCCAGCTTTGACCTTTTATTTGTTGGGCCAGATATATGCCTTCTGCTCTTTGGAGAAGTATGGGAAGAGTAAAACATTCTCTTCCCAATACCTAGAGCTGGCATGGGACATTGCAGCTCTCCCACACCAGCTATAAGCCCTCATTCACACCTGAACGTTTTGTAGCGCGTTCTACGCTCGACGAACGCTCTACAAAATGCTCAAAAATATAAATCCCATTGTATTCAATGGTCTCGTTCCCACCTTGGCGTATTTCCCTAATGCGTTACAAAACGGCCCATGCCTGAAAAGGTACAGGTCCTACTTTGGGCCGTTTTGTTGCGCGTTTCCATTGGGCTACAGCCAAGTAGCCTCCGGAAACGCGCGACGGTCGCGCAACATTTTTACCGCTAATCGCGCATATGCAATACGCCTATGTGTGAAGGAGACCTAAGACTGAGAGCTGACCAGTCACATGACCGTTGATCAGTGAACTCTTGGTTTCTGTTACTAGCAGAAAGTAGTGACTGTCAGTCACTGCCCCCCACAGGGATTTCTCCTCATCCCCTCTCTTCTTCAGGTCATGTTGTGCTGTCTTGTTTTCTGATTGGCTAGGAATCCTGCTTCACTTATTGGTAGGCAGCCTGGCTTCCTGACCAATCAAGTTCTGGTATCGGGGGTAAGTATTTGAGCGAGTAGGAATACTCGGTATTGGCACGATACTAGTATTAATAGTAATACCAATTCTAGTATTGGTATCGGTGCATCCCTATCTAAAACAAAATAATGTGTTGTTCAAACTGTTAGAGCTAAATAAATCCTGTATAATAATAAATATGTGTATAGACAGTAAATAAGTTATATTATTAGTCTCATTATTAATCGCAGGCATGACTAAGACAGGAAGAGTAACATGACAAACCACATTACGAGGAATCTTTAACCCTCACAGGCACAATTAACAAGCACTAGCTTCTTAAAATTTTGACTTAGCCCATATGATTGACCAGGGGGTGTGGAATTCCTATCGCGGGCGAGTAGTTTTTATGTACATTTAGCCCGGCTCCGGACAAGCAGAGCTGAATGTACATTGTGGAGCCGCCGCTTGTTTACTACAAGTGGTCTGATCAGACCACTTGTATCAATTTGAGCAGCGGCGATCGTTTCTGCCCGCACCCCCGAATTTTAATCTATGTAATAGGAAGTGGAAAAAGTAAATTTTAAGAAAATTGAAAAAGTTAAAAAAAATAATAAAATATATAAAGATTTAAAAAATAAAAATGAAACCCTGCTGCTCCCGCCATCTGCATGCAAATAAACGCATGCGTAGTACATTCTTCATGTGCTTTGAGATTGCAGCTGCCATTCCATGGTGGTAGCCAGAATTCTCTGCATTAAAGCGTAAGTTCATTTTCCCAGGTAATATGGAAAAATTTAAATTACACGATGAAATCTGGCCCCGTCACTCCCCTGCCTATACTTACCTTTTGGGGAGCAATCCCTCCCCTCCGCCAGTATGGGTGTACTATCTGTCCCCCGTACTGCTGTCCAGCGCAGTACTCCACTATGCTTTTTGAATTTTGCTCGCAAATTGCAAGCACGCATTGGTCAACGTGGTCAGATGACTGCACTGACCAGTGAGAAGCGCTATTTAGCACAGTCAAATATGTTTTGATTAGGGGTGCACCGATACTAGTACCAGTGCCGATACAGAGTATTTGGGCGAGTACTCGTACTCACCCAAATGCTCCGATACCTTCCCCGATATTGGAACTTACGGCCAGATGAAAATTACCTCTGACTCGTAGTGTCGTAGGGGAACATGGAGCCAGCTTCCCGTCCAATCAGGAAGCCGTGCGGCAAGTAATGACCCGCCTCCTGGTTTTCTGATTAGCCGGGAAGCCGACTTTCCAGCCAATCAGCATCGAGCCAGTTTCCCGGTCAATCAGGTCATTAATCGCCACCCGGCTTCTTGATTGACCAGGAAGCAGGTTTCCCGGCCAATCACAATCAAGCAGGCCAAACAACATGGAGCCGGCTTCCGTGGCAATCAGGAACCTGGGCGGGATGTCATTACCTGCTGGCCGGCTTCCTGATTACCAGGGAAGCCTGCTCCATGCCAGCGGAAGCACCGGTATTATTATTCAGTGTCGGCGAGATCCGAAAGCAAAAAATCGGTACTCTTACTTGATACCGAAAAAAACGGTATTGGTGCATCCTTAGTTTTGATTAAAACAATTTTTTTGTATTGGGACAAGTAGATTGTCATGAAGGACAAGTAGATTTGGCCCCCGCTTTAGCCCTTGGACAAGTTTTTTTTTTTTTTTTAATTTCCACACCCCTGTAGTCTGTTCAAAGGTGTATACGGAATTTTACCGTGCATGCACAGAAAAAGTGACCGAATCCCCTCCCCCACCCCAGGTGCATACTTGCCAAATTCTTGCAGTTGTGTCTTGCCGCACTTTTTACATCCTTCTGTCTTGATGGTATTTCTGGTAACCTTGCTTAGCATCACATTTTAATTTGCAGGTCAGATTAATCCTGCATTAATGATTTTTAAGCCATTATTTCAATATAACATTTTTATTTTATTTTTTTTCTAGACGTCTAAGCCCGCTTTCTCTTTCTGCACATGAAACAAATGACCAGCTGAGTCTTCATATTTCAGTGGAAGGCAAATATTACCCAGTTGTTTACCATCCACAGGACTTTACTAATCACATAAGCAGTATGTCTGCCACTGATAAGCTGACCAAATGTGAAGTCTTGGGAGTTCAAGGAGCATTGCTGAGCATTTTCATACAACCAGTGTACATTTACAGCATTATTGTGGGTGAGCTGATGCCAGAACATTGCTTTGTAGTTATCATTTGTGTAGTTTGAAATGAAGAACAGCAGAGCTATTTTATTCTAAATTTACTCATAAGTGAATAATCATTAAACTGTAAACTAGCAAAAGCATGCCCATACCAGAACAGGCAATGTTGGGGATATTAACACTATTCTAAGGTAAGTCTTCATGGCCATTATTTGAAGGAGAGGAGTAAAAAGCATATAATTGCAGCCAGTATGTTCAGTGGTGGAGTGCGCAGGGTATGACAGCAGGCAGATGGTGTAGAGCATAGGACAGCAGGCATTATGTGCAGGGGATAAGTAAGGGGGACTTGACAAAGGACAGTATGTGCAGGGGAGGAGTGCAGAGGATATGTGACTGGGAGGAGTGTGGAGGGCATTAAAGTGGACAGTATTTGCAGTGGAGCAATGTGGAAGATGACAGCAGGCAGTAGAGTAGACTTTTGTGGATAGTAAATTAATAACGGACATCTTGGGGTCTTTGCTTCTAGCCATGAGTTTTACTTGCCTGATTGCGACAGGCATCTCACTGCTGACTGGCTATCCATTCGCTACATTTCAAATACATATTTTAGAGCTGTTTCACTGCCAAAGGTATGCAAATCGCAAGATTTGCCGAACACGGTTACCAATCTTCGGACGGTAAAAGGGTTCATATTTACGTACTTCAATGTTCTAGTTGCCTTTTTTTTTTAATCTTTTTAATGTACATGTTTTTTATATTTGAGGCATATAATTTTTTGTATTAATAATGATGTATTTACATTTATTGTAAATAGTTATAGTAATGACTTTATTTTGTCTTTATCTACTTGGGGGAAATATTTAATATGGGTCTCCAAAAATTGGAAACCATAATAATAAGCACCTTTCTGCAATTATAACTTCTCAGAGCAGCTGGCTAGTGGCTCAGCCTCATAGACACCTCACAAAATAATAACACCTAAATTTTTCCATCCTGATTATTTAGTTATAGCAAATATTCCTTATGCACTGAATGGTTACGCTGATCCTGTAGTAGTGGTGGCATTGTACTTTTTAAAGTAGAACTCCTGTAGCAGTCTGTATTTATTTAACCCTTTGTGTTGTGCAGATTTCTTCCCTTCTGTTACTATTTATCTGACTTTTTTCTACCTCAAACATGAGAGGAAGTCATTTTACCATCATTGGGTTTTTTTCACTGGTGCAGTAACGCCCACTCGAGAGTAATTAATATTTAGCTGACATTATGCTCATCTCGAATAATACAGAAAGCTTTACATAAGGCCTCATTCACACAGCCACACGCCTGTAAAAATGTTTGCTTTTGCTGGCGGAACTAAACACTGCATGCACACAGGGTATGCAAACCAGCACAGGCAGCAGGTGTCAGATTTGTATCGGTCACCAATGCTGCCGCTGTTGGCATGTAATTGCTCATCAGAACGGTTACACGCTAATAGAGTCTTTGACCGATCCTGGACATAGATATTTTGTGTCCAGGGGCGGCATTCATGTGGAGTTAGTGGCCGAACAGAAACTGTTTGGTGCTAATCATCCAGTTTATATGCAACCATAGTACAGAATGCATCTGTGTCCAGAGGTGGCATTTAGCTGCCTCTGAACGCAGTAAACATTCCATCCAAGATCGCCCAGAAGGAGGCCTAAATGTGAACAGTACAAGACAGTAAACCAGATGCTGTGTGTCAAGTCCCGATCACACTGCACAGCATAGGAAACTCGTCTGAGCTCTCTTTCCATCCTCTTTACTGCATCTGTATAAGTGGATAATACAGCACACATTATCACCAGTTCAATAAGGAGAACACATCATTCAGTCCTACTGAGAAACACTGCATTCACACAATGTGTTAACCTGCAGTTCCAGAGTCCTAGGTAGGATTCAGTGGGTACAGGAGGCGGGCTCTGCAGTAACTTTCTCATACAGATGAAACTGGCTCTATAGAAGTTGTATGTACCACATAAGACAACAGCTGTAATAGACACCTGCTGAAGCCCAGGGAGCATGTCAGAAACAATCTAATAAAGTTAGTGGTTCTTGTGGGAGACTGGGCATCTGCAGACAGGAAATGTGCCTGCTGCAATGCTCTTTAATTAAACTTTGGAGACATGCAGTTGGGAAGGGAAAGGAACAAAATTACAGAGCAATATTTGTTATTCACCAGAGGCCGAATCGGATAGGACAGAAATGGCTAAGGCTGGAGTTCTTTAAGGCAAAAACTGCTTTACATTCGTGTGTGTTTTCACAAAGAGATTTTCTATGGACTAAGTCCCCCGCAGATTTGTGGTAATGTGTGTCTGGATACACAATAATATTTCTGTGTTAGGGTAGCAGTGCATGGCTTTATACTGGACCAATTTAAAGCAAGCCTGTCAAAATAGTAATAGACCTGGAACAGTTAGGCAAATCAGAAGTTATCTGCATACTTTTTCCAGGACACTGAATGCCAGACAACTAGCATTTTCAGAAAGTCATCAGAGCCTGACTGCATGTCTTATTCAAGCACTTGTGTGCAATTAGCGTGAGGAGAGTTAATCCACCCTGCCATTTTCTGTGTGTTTTGTGTTTTACAAATTGTTTATCTGTTTATATATTCGTTATTTTTGTCTATTGGGGGCCACAAAGTCTTTAACCTATGGGTTATAATGCCGCTTACTTAAAGATTGCACACTGGCAAACCAAAAAATGTAGGCCAGCCCAAGATGACCCCTTCTTCTACCTGTATGCCTCGGTTTTGTAGCAAAGCAGTACTGAGTTCCTTTTTTTAAAAACAGAAGGGATAGGAACTGTTACTCAATGGGTTTATAGAAAACGTCTTTACTTTAAGTTCAAAAATCCTATTATCTTTCTCATCCGTTGTGGAACACAATAGGTCTCTACCCTATAGAATATATAAAAAGCAGCCCAACAGAGAGGTGGGTAACACAGAAAACAGGAATAGCCTCCCCCCCCCCCCCCAAAAAAAACTGGGGATGGCCTGCAACACAAACAGCTGTCTGAAGGAACCTTTGTTGGAAGCATCCACCTAGTAGAACTTCAAATCTAGGAAAGAGAAGCCTGATGCTGAAGTGGCACTCGCAGATCTAGTAGTGTATGTCTTGACAGGAAAATATGGAACCCCCTTCCTTTATAGGCTTGTTCACACAAATTACATCAATGCCTGCGTTCTGGTCCAGTGCAACAGCAAAAAATGCTGCATAAAAACGTTCTGGTGCGGGCGATCATACTGCGGGCGCAGAACGCAGGGGCTGGGGGCGTTTACTATGAGATACAGTGTGTCCCGGCAGCTAACCACCCTTGAACACACTGTAATTGGTGTGAATAAGACCATAAGCCTGGACGATGGCCTGTCAAGGCCACCAGGAAATGGTGAAATAAGCTGGTTTGCCTTTACGTGGACCATGACAAAGAGAAATTCACTGGTTCTGAAAGAAGTAGTGGCCGAGCAATACAACCTGAATCAGATCCAGAAAATGGAGGCTGCAATGATCGCATTTAGATGCAAACAGTCTGCCCCTAGGTGTGGTCGCCCGCAGGTATTCGCAGCTTGTGCAGTTGCATGCAAACATCTGCTGGTGGTGGCAGCTGTTATTGTCTAGGAGAGCACCTCCTCTCTGCAGCAAATTGCATGAGTCTACTGGAGAAATGTTTGAGACTCGTGTGATCGCCGGCCCATTCGCAAGTGTGAATGGGGCCTTTGCCTCCTATATCACTTTTTCCTGTGTTTAGATTTTGCTGGGTTTAGGCCGTTTACATAGGTTTAGTTGCATTTAGCCACATAAAACCCGGCTAAATGGTCCCAGGATGCAGGAAGTTTGTTTGTGTTAACGCAGACTGAATGCACCTAGATCAGGGGTGCCCACAATTTTTTGTGTTAAGATCTACTTTTCAAATGACGAGCTACATGAGATATACCAACGAAGAAAAAAAACCTCCCTCGCTCTCTCTCTCTCCTGGCTGTCCTCTCCTTGCTCATCCTCCTGACTGTCTCTCCTCTCTCTCCTTGCTGTCTTTCCTCGCTCTCTCTCTCCTGGCTGTCATTCCTCGTTTTCTCTCTCCTGGCTGTCTCTCTTGGCGGTCTCTCCTTGCTCTCTCCTCTCTCTCTCTTTCCTGGCTGTCTCCTTGCTCTCTCTCCTGGTTTACCTTGCTGTATTTTGCAAACAGTGCAGTGCAACAGGCTGTGTAAACGAATATTCTTTGATGTAATACATAGCATTTCAACCACCAGTATCCACCAGAAAGTTGTCAGGGAGCTTGGCTCAGCAAACTCAGGCTAATAGGTAATCATGTGTGCACAGCTAAATAAATATACCAAAATGGAATAAAGGGGCCACCATTCACACCCTTCCTGATCTACCAGCATCAGCTTTGAGAGCTACTGGAAGATCACGATCTACCTAAGGGGCACCCCTGACCTAGATACTGCTTAACATCTAGATGTGCATTCAGCCCTAGAAAAGTAGTACATGCTTCCAGGTGCCATTTGAAATGACCTCCAACCATATCTGGAAGTATTTTATATGTTGTGTGCATGGGACCTATTAGGGGCACAGATGATGATAAAAACCTGCGTAAGACTAACCCATGACCGTGCTATGTAAAGTTTTGACTGGTGATGGGCTTTAAGCTGTTAAATTAAATACGGCTCTTCAATAAATGGCTTTTTATTTCAGGTGATGCAAACTGTAACAACACGAGAGGACTGGAGATTGCTCTGAAGCAAAGAATTGATGATTCACTTACTTCAAGACTACCAATGTTTTATCTTGTGAACAAACCCTACATAAGCATTGTCACAGCAACCCACCCAATTCAGACTGCCTCTGGGAACTGCTTCTCTCTGAACTGGTCACAAGGAGATCCTTCATTGGAAATAGTGGATGCTTGTCTGGGAAAGATAACGGAAAGGTATGCTTTCTTTCAGAAATTTGTTTTAAACACCATTTTTTATGATTACTTTAAACCTCTTCTTCATTGTTAACCTTGTCTTATTATGTAGTTCACCATTTAAAAGCGGCCGCTCTATGGCAAGTCGTCTTTGCAAAGCTGCAATGTTAACCCGGTTTAATTTGCTTGCAAAGAAAGCAAGAAGAGAGGACATTCGTTGTGGCCTGACATATCATGAGGCAAAGGTAAAGAATGATTTTATTAATTATATCGAACATTCATTGGACTGGATATGGCTGTTTATTTGTAATAAGCATGAACTTGTTAGAATAGGAAGAAAGAGTCACTGATCCGGCTATCAGGACTAAAGCTGGCTATACGCTTGGCACATTTTGGCCCATTTCTGCTTGGCTGAAATTCAACCAGTGTGTGGCCCTGTCAGAAACCCCCCTCTGTTCGGAAAAAAAGTCATTTTTTGTTGTCGACTTTTGACAACTTTTTTGAATCAACTTTTTTTCAATCAACTATTGTCGAATGAGCCACTACAAAAAAATCCAGTTAGCTGGAGTCACTGTGAAAAAAGTGAATGTGTAGCGCTATACTAAGTGAAATGTAATCCCCCTTTCGGGATATATAAAAGTAAAAATATTTTAAATAAATATCTCACAATCATAAATAATCTTATAAACCTTAATATACAGTGAATGTCCAAAAATATAGGTTAAAATGATACCTAGCTGGAGTCACTGTTCAGGTGTTCTGACAGTGGCACACCCTCCACTGTCAGAATACATAAGACTGGTGGGCTATTCCATCATTCATGCTGTTGGTGTTTATCTTGGAAACTGAGAGGCTTTTTTTCTAGTTTAGCCCCGCAGGGCTGAACAAGGAAAACCTCAGTGTCTGGCCAGCCGTAAGGTTCACATGCTCATCCAGGCTGGTCACTTGTTAACTGATGAAACCGGAATGAGGATGACATCTTCAAATTCAGCAGCAACTTCCTATACTTCAACTAAAGTTGACCTCTCCTTCTGAAAATGCTAGTTACCTGGCATGCTGAATTGATGGCTTAGGTACTTTGTGTCTCTCACCCAGAACAAGTCTGCAGATCCAGGAATTTTGACTTCACTCTCATTTACCTAGTCTGCATGTTGGTTTTGGCTCTGTAATTCATAATGTATTGAAGCTAGAAATAGCCAGTCAATTCGAATTTTCAGAAAAAGTAATTGCTTCCAAAGTATTCTGGAAATAAAAGTTTTTTGTTTTTTTTAAATACTTCCAGCAGTTTTCCTTTCCCATCTTCTGGCAGTGTCTGAATACTGTCTGTGCTGTTCTTGCCCCTCCACCGTTCATCTACCTAAATAACCTTTTATGAAGCATCTGGGAAAAGGAGGCAAAGTGGAATACTCCAGAGCAGGGGTAAGCAAACTACAAATCCCATGAGACGTTTCAAGACTCTTAACAGCCACTGGCATGACTCTTAGAGCCTGATGCATGATGGGACTTGTAGTTTCACCATAGCTGGCGTTTGCCTACCACTGTTCTAATGTGTCACAAGGATTGTTCAGCGCCTCATTAGATAATCTAAACAAGAACCACAAAGAACACCTTACATCACCTCAAGAAAGCCAAGGTTTGCCGTTGCAAATCTGGACCTAACTATTCAGCCCATAATTACTTATTTTATTCACACGCACATTCCAATAGGGAATTTAAGTCCTCTAAACCCTTTTCATCCTCAGGGGGCAAGCGATCCTGGCAGTCCGAGCTCGCTTCTTCTGCGTTAAATTTTGCTCCCATCTGTCCAGCCCATAGCGGGGCAGACAACTTCTGGCATTTGCGAACTATTGGCTAGCCTATGTGTCGGACAAATGGGTTTGCAAATTAGTAGCCTTGGTGCACATGATCTTCTTTCTTGCAGCCCCTCTTGCAGAGGTTTTTCAACCTGTGTCATTTTCTGCATAGGTTAGGGAACTTGCAAATGGAACTAGTGATCCTAGTACCTACAGCAGAAAGATTTCAGGGTTTTTATTCAAATCTCTTTATGGTGCTCAATAAGGATGAAATTCGTCCAGTTGTGGATCTCAAGGCCTGGAACGTTTATGTAAAAATCCGATCCAGTTGTTAGTGGCATCCCTACTTTGAGGGATTTTCTGGCAGCCATGGACATATAGGCTGCATATCTTCATATACCTATTTATCAGCAGTTCTTCCCCTTTGCGGTACAGGAGAGACCTACCAATTTGCAGCCTTGCCTTTCGGCCTAACTGCCGCTTCGAGGGTGTTCACCAAAACGTTGGCGCCAGTGTTAGCTGCCTTGAGGTCGAGGGGTTACCAATATTGGGATACCCGAAAGACTGCACCTATTGTGAAAGTCTTGTTTGTAAGTGGAATGCCACCATCCATCACCATTCGGACTCTGGAGTAATTCAGGTGATTCCTGAAACTACAGAAATCCTCGCTTCACATGGAATACTTGGAAGGCCTAGATGTTCCTTTCTGTAGGAAAAGCTATGGAAACTACAAGTTTAGATATGACCACTGCGTGCATGCAAGTGCTGGACGATTCACCAATGTATGAGAGTGCGGAGTCTCGTGGTGGCGTCCTTTGCTTGATCACACATCATAGAGCACAAGTAGTTCATTCTGAAACCAATGGGTTTTGAATTCAGTTTGGTGAATTCAGCCGAGGCAAAGTACCTGTCTCCTGACATCTCTCCTAAGCTAATGGACAGCATTTCTTTCCTGGTGGACATGTTTAAGGTTAGAGCCACCTGGGTGGACCTTGGCCAAGGTCACTAGTCTGGGTTCTTTGACACTGTCCAAACCTGTAAAACCTGCTCTGTACAGTTATTTTTACAGCCAATGTCATATGGTGACAGGGATCACACTGAAAAATTGTTTTTGGCCAGTCCTTGGCTACTTGCATCAATGAAGTCAAGGGTGGCAAAAGCACCTTTTTTATAGCTGAATAATTAACCCAGGCCTCCAATAGCAAAATCCTCTGCTCACTCCTTTAAGGAAAGTTCTTTTTGTCCCTCCCATGGCTCAGATTCCAAGCTCAGGCCAGGCTATTAGACTGTCGTAAGTTCTGGCCCTGTGAGCCTGCAAAATCAAGCCCTCTTCACAATGAAGAGGCACACCCATGTTCATTAGTGTGAAGGTGTCTGACAGCCTTCATGGCTTCCTGGATGTGGAACCTCCCAGATGCCTGGGTCCTGAGCGTTGTAAACCAAGGACTCCCTACCTTGCCCTTGCTTCCTGCTGTCAATTCTGCCAAAATCTCCCCATCTCAGACAATACAAACCATGCAGAGCTTTGGTTGGTTCCTGAATCTCCATCAGTCAGTGCTGAAACCCTCTCATCTTTTGGAGTTCTTTGCTCATTCTTAGACACTGCTCTGTACAGGGTCTTCTTCCCATGTTCAGACCTTTCCCACTGTTAACTTTTGCGTGAAGGTTATTGGCTAAATGGTGGCCTCTTTTGAAGAAGTCCCGTATGTTCAGTTTCACTCTAGACTGATGCATCTCGGCATTCTCTGTGTGGGACAAACTGGTTTAGTCCCTGTTCAGCACAATCTCATTTGAAAGAATATGAGCAAGTATATTCGTTGCTCATACATAATACTGGTGCAATCTCTTTTTAATCAAGATGATGTGTGCAAATGGCTGCTTCACGCTGGAATATTTACGCATTTCATTAGACACACTCAGTGCCTACTGCTTTGCCCAGGTGTGTGCTTCACCTAGTGGAGTACACGGGTAGTCCTGGAGTCCTGTGCTTTGCTGCAACCCTGTGTGCTTAAAAACGGCTACAGAAGACCTGAAATATTGTACAACCATAGTAACTAGGTTATTCATTTAAACATCCAACTGTTGTCTCTAGCTATGGATATCTATGGACAATAGAAGGAGTCATGCTGAATAAAAAATGGAAGCCAGTTAAAAATTAAAAAAAGAAAGTGGAAGTTTGTAAGATATTTAATATATATTGTTGCGGAGTGCTCACGGGCTGAGAATTTGGAGAAAGCATATAAAGGCCGTCACTTTAAGAAAACCATAAAACTTCCGGAAAGGTACAGACACCTCAGCAGCAGCTTTTGGTACATCCTGCTAGGTCTAAAAGCAGGGCTGTTCTATTTGCCTGGTTCCCCTCGCCCCTCCACATTCCTGTTCGCTCATCATTTTGATGGGTTGCCTCACTGACCCATTTGAAACGTGCAGAAGGCATACTGTTGAAAACTTTGTTCACTGCTACAAATATAACCTTTAAATTCTAGCGTTTATAAGCAATTCCAAGCAACTTGGGATTATTGGAGTGGACATATGTCTCCCGAAGTATGTAACATGTAAGGGAGAAGAGGTACCAGTCCTGTTACTGAACACTGTGCATTACAGCATGGTTCTGTATGGGCAATATGAAGATTGGGAGAAAGACTAGTAATCTGCCAAACAATTCTTTCTACACCTGCTTCTGTCCTAATTTGTGCCAGTTAATCGTTGTGGTGAATATTGTATCGCACATGTGCCAATGCTCCTGTATTCCTCATATGTACTAGGGTGTGCTGACACTGCCCCTCAAAGGTGATGCGGAGTAAGTGCTTCTTAAATATGGGTTCTGCAGTCCAAAGCAGTAAATGAGATAGAAAAAAAAAACAAAGTAGCCCATCAATCCTGTAGTTTAGAGCTACATACTTTTTTCCCCCCCATACACTCATACTTGTTCCAGGACTTGTCACAGGTGGGGTATGCCGGATGTGGTTCAACTACAAACTGGATAGGTGTGAGTCAGGGTACAGGGTCCCTCTAGCGCCTTGGTTGCCAACTGGTGGGTCGCGACCCAAAAGTGGGTCGCAACCCCGTTTTCAGTGAGTCACCTTCCACTTTCCTATGATGGAGCTCCATCCATACGTGCATTGCTTACATCTCCCTCACGTGTCCTGTAGAGGTGCCATGGTGACATCAAATTCTGGCTCCCGGCACCTCCTACAGGGCGCTCAAGAGAGCTGTACAAGCATTTCACATATGGATGTAGCTCCATCACAGTACAGCAGCCCACGCTGGACCCCAGGCTGATGATCCACTCCAGTTCTTGTAAGGTAGGGAGACTGGGTGGACCTTAAATCTTTTGTAGTGTGTATGTGTGTCCTTTTTTTTTTTTGAGAGCCCGTTCACTCTAGTACAGTGCATTAATCACATAGTACTGTGCAATTAACGCACTGTACCACGCAATTGCACCTACCATACATTCTGGTGAGGGAGGTGCGTTGCGTTTGTCAATCATTTGAATGGTACCCTAAACGCACCTCCCACCCACAGTTCGTACGCCCGCACCGGAACGCGCGTTTCCCTAATGCCGTGCGTTCCATTGCAGTGCAACTTGGGTCACGACTTAATAACCAAGGATAAATGTGGGTCCTGAGGTTACACAGGCTGAGAACCACTGCTCTAGTGGATGCTCTGTAGGATCAGCTCACCATGATCTGCACCTTTCCACCTTTTGAAACTCCTTCCTCATCTGCTTCACATGATTGAGATAAGAGAGATAAAGTTTGTTTGCTTTTGTTTTTTTCTTTTTTGGGGGGAGGGTTCTATTTTTTTTCTATGGAACGGAGTTTGCTATTATTTTAGGACCCTCAAAATGGTTCTGTAACTGTAGAGAAATGTATATTCTGCATTAAATTATACATTCTGCAAATAACCACATGTGTGTTTTTATTTTTCTGTCCTTTAGACACTTGCTTTACAATACCAAGAGGCCAAAGCCCTACTGAAGTCCTATTTAAAAATGCAGGGGTTTGGAAATTGGTTAGAGAAGCCGGACGGCATTGGAGCCTTTACAATATAGTCATGTCCTCCGTTTTTACTTTTTACTTCGCAATAGTTGTGTTTTTCTGAAACATTCTTTGTTTTGTGTAACCTGTTATACAAAAATATGACTTTTGTAAACTTGTTCAGAATATTTTCTGATCTTTTTCAATTGTAACAATCCTTTTGAGAATTGTTTTTTTTTTTCTGGTTTACTTTTACTAAAAGTTATTTATGTTGATTATAAAGCTTTTAGGTTGTATTTAGTCAAGTTTATTTAGTAGTGTAAATAAGCATATTATGTTATCTGACAATGTATATACGTTGGTTATGAGGTTGCTAATATAGTAACTGTCATTTCACATACTACTGACATATAACATGAGTGAAGGTTGTCAGGGCAATGCACTGGAAGCTGTCATTGATGCCTCCTGCTCTGGGGCTGTCATGCTTCTTTTCCTAAAATACTTGGTGAATCCATGACCTGCACATGTTCCAGGTCATTCATTTACAAACTAATGGGGGAAATAAAGATTACAGCCCTGGAGTATGTACCTGCAAAAGCAAGTAGAAATAATGGCCTCATGTATATCTAGGCAGCCTTAAAACCTGTAACTTCCTGGGAAATGCCAACTGGCTGTCAGTCTCTATACATTCCGTTCCTGATTTAGAGCAGGTTTGTAGCCAAAGGAAAGTCAGAACTCCTGATCAGTTTGGGGTCAGTGACTCTGAAAGCATCATAGCCTTTGGATTAGCATATTGGCTAAACAACAAGCACTTGTAAAAGCAGAGTATAGCAGTGGTACCCTACAAATATTTTACAGTACAAAAAGTACTGACGCATCGCTTTATTTGCATTAAACCGTTTAATGTAACAATTTCTTCTTTAAAAAATGCATTCACTGTATGTTTGATCTCGTAAAGCAGATTTGTTTAGTGATATCATTGTGTGATCTAACAGACTTGATAATGTTCTGCAATCCTTTTTTGTTTCTCCGTTTTTATGTGCATCAAAATAAGTGGTCAGCTCACTATGATCACATTGCTGGTAAACACATTTAAAATGTGACTACAGTCAAATGACAGACTTGTCATGCTTTATGCTATTGATAAGAGCATTCTTCAGTTTCACCCACAGGTTTGAAATAAATGGCTGTTTTATTGATCCATATGTTGTCTGATTTTTAATTTTACTTGGCAATTAATGAAGCTTAGTGATGTAACAGTCTAAAGATCAGCTTTTAAAAATAGTAGAACTTAAAGAAGGACTCCAGAAAACATTTTAACTAGGGCTGGTAATTAAAATTTTCGTGTTCGATCAAATATAACGCACATACAGATCCAACTACATTGGCCTATACACATACAGCACAGCAATGAAGTAATAAAATGAACTAGGATCACACTAATCCAGCACGTTTTTAATCTCACGTGCCCCACTCAATATGGCCGCCGCTTGAGTGGGGCAACTCAGAATAATAACGTGCTGGATTACAAGTGTATTTACATAGTATAGTAAAACAACAAAGCCCTAAGGGTGATTTAAACATAAGTATTAGCTTAATATTTGAAGTAGCAGCACCATTTCATTTCATGTAAGGACCTGATTGCAGGTAAATTTCAATGGGCACATTTCTGGGAGCGAGATAGGGGGGGGGGGGAGTTAATGGAGAGCCACATAGTGCATATATATAAGTTTAAGATAAGACAGAAGCTTGGTGCTTCTTGGGCAAACTCACCGGCCCAAGTGGCTCTGTCGGCTAACAAAGGGATGGGGGGAGGAGTCCGGTGACGTCCCGGACATCGACGTCCCCCCTTCCCTTCGTTAGCGGACGGAGCCACTTGGGGAAGGGGGAGGAGTCCGGTAACGTCAATGTCCGTGACGTCATCGGATCTCCGACGGGACTCCCGGAAGCCGGCGTAGAGGTGAGTCTTTTCATTTTCGATCAAAAAGTTTAACGATTAATCGAGGAATTAATCGTTAATTTCGCCAGCCCTAATTTCAACCCTTGCAGTGAGGCTACCCCTGCACTGCTGGGCTAACTGATCAGTTTTTTTTTCTAGGTTAAAAAACAAAAAAATGTACACACTTGATGTTCCGAGCCGGCTTGTTCTTGGACCGGTCCTTCCAGCCTCTCTGCAGCAGTCTAAGGTCCTGTATGTCCTCACGTTCTATACACTGCATAATATACAGATGTCCTGCTGTACTCCTTACCAGATGTCCCCAAGATAAACAAGCTGGGTGCTTTAAGTGACCACAGACTTTTTCTTAACCCTTGCAGTGGGTAGCCCTACTGCAAGGGTTGAGAAAACGTTTCCTGCAGTTCTTGTTTAAGAAAGCAATATTGATGAGAATATTCTTCAATATCAGACAGAGCCCATCCCCTTCAGTAGAGTCACTCCTTTCTTATGTGAAGAACCCCCCTCCCCGTTTGATCCCACTAATCACAGGACCACCTTGTGGGTCTAAGTGTGGAATCTTTGTGCTCTTCAATGCTACACGAAAAGGACTTGGACGTAGTAAATACATTTTTCAGATGGAGTAGATATTTACATACTTACTTTTGTACACATTTTTGTTTGATTGTTTTCACTGCCTCCAAGTGCAGGGTTCAGCAATGGGCACAACATGTGCTCCATCATACGCTAACCTGTACCTACGGAGTTGTAGCAGGATATATGGTCCAGGGTTGACATTTCTATTTATTTTTGCCATGTATTATCCTTGCACAGACGCATAGATGATTTTTTTTTTTCTTTTGGACTGGTAATCCCATCGTTCTTACAGAATTTATCTCAATCATCAACAGGAATAATTCTAGTTTGAAGTTCACTTTGTAATAAATGATCGACAACTTCCCTATTTAGATGTTAAGATTTTTAAGGATGACATGGGTAAGTTATATACATTACGTCCTAAAACAACAGCTGTGAATACCATTTTAGAGGAAAGAAATGGCTAAATCTGTAGAAGTTGTAACCAACGTGAGGATTTTGAGAGGGAGGCAATGGAATAGAGAAACCAGGCTACAAAGAGAGACGTGCAGCTTACAAGAGTGAAAACAAAGGAGTGAAGAAATGCCCCCCAAAAACAGCACAGAAACTAAGACAAAGTGAGATTAGATATGACATTGTTGTATAAATTCATGCGTGATCCCATAATAGTATTTATGGGAGTAATGTCATTAAATAACATGCTGGTATCGAGCAAGAATGGCAGTCCTAGAAATAAGGCTTGCTGTAAATACAGTATATGGGAACTTTTTCAATGTCAAAACTGCAAGAATATCCTGACTGGGCCAATAGTAACTACATTAGGGTATTCTGTATACAGTAAACATTTTGCTAATTGTGAGATGCAAGGAGTTCTCTATTTATTGTATGTGCAACAAGTACTATGCGGGTAAAAGTAAAAAAATGTTGAAAGATTAAATATCAGTGACTTTGTTTTCTTTTTATGGGTAGAGTACACAACAGAAAAAGGGGACCATTTGGAATACACACCATCTACAAAGGGATTATAGATGGATTTGTCAAATGAGAGCCTTTGAGGAGCCGGCAATATCATTTGGTTGCTTTTTGTAGATTGTTCTCCCTTAATTGTATTAAAGAAGTACATATACTGTGTGCCTTCTAATAATAATTGTATTTGTAGCTGCCAACCACACAGCCCAGAGCAATATTATATTTATATACACATGTAAAGTGACAAAGTCAAAAAAAGTTTCCCTCCCCCCCATGTTAATGTCAGCACTTACCTTAAATGATGTCTCTTATTCCGATCTTCTTTCCTGATATTTTCATCTGTCCCTCCAGCGCTGCGGCGGCTCTCCGATCCAGCGGTGTCTGCATGCGGGTGCAGCATACACTTACCTTGCGTCTCTGCTCGTCTCCCAGCCGAGAATCCGAACTGCGCATGCACCCGCCCCAAGATCCTTTGCGGCCGCACGAGCAGCTCCTGATTCTCGGTGCGGGAGCGAGCAGCGATAACAAGGTAAGTGTAAAACGCTGTTAAAGCGTTTTTTTTTTTTTACTTTTTCCCTCTATCTACTGCTTGCTAGCAGTAGATATAGGCAAAAAAGAAATGGAGGGTTTAGAACCTCTTTAATATTATACTCCTTGATGATGAGATTGTAAGCTCTCATGTCTTCCTTATATTGTAAAGCGCTGTGCAAACTGTTGGCACTATATAAATCCTGAATAATAGTGAAGACAAAGCGACCATTGAGAATACGGTAATTATGAAGTGATTTGAGGTCAGCCTTAGTTGTGATATTAATATAATCAGTGTATTGTTGTAGCATAGTGTTCTCTAAGTGCTATGTACTAAAACTATCAAACAACAACTATCACAAATGATACATTGTAATTGTAACAAATATAATCTGGTGTGGCTTTATCTAAAACTACAAAAAAAAATGCATGTTATATATGGGGAAAAAAAGTCCTTTCTGGAAAAAGCCATCATCCTCCAAAATCGTGTCCTTGGAAATAAAGTGTCCCTTGCAAGATGTGCTTAAACAGTTTTCAATTACTCCTCCGTGTTTGCCACTAATTTTGTGAATTATTTGCCATAGTGCACACACTAAGGGATAAAGCACTCGTTGAAACTCACGATGGATCCAGTGTGGTTACTCCTGTCATCCTCCAATGTGCAGGATCTTCTTGTCTTCCAGTGGCAACACAGCTAAAATAAGGGATATGAGGCTCACATAGCATGAAACCTTTTAAACATTAGATTTAAAAGCAATAGAAAAAGAAACTCCTATTTCCATTTGCTATATTGCACCTGTTAAATTCCTTATTAAACATTAATAGCTCTGTGAATCAGAAGTGGGTTTTCTAGATAGAAATTGCATTGTTGCAGGAGGGTTTGGTGAAGGTGTTTCAGCAATAAGGCAAATACCAAATAGAAGATCACTGTGTGGATGCATGTATTGATACGAACGGCTGTGGTATCTCAGAATATGCTGTCTGATTAAACAAATACCTGGAGGGGAATCCCTTTTGATACATTGGTTGCACAGTATGGAGGAAGCT